CTGCTGTGGGCTTAATAGTCGAATACACTAGTTTTTTTTTCAGCTGTGTCTGGAAACCATTCTACGAGAAGAATAACTCTAATTTGAAAACCTTACGTAGCCCTGTCAAAGCACATGCTATTCATCTAAACAATGGATTCATATTGATCCTATGAACACGCCTACGGTCTGTCGGCCCACTGGTATCTTTTTTTTTCACTCTCGATAAGTGCTCGATGCGAGCCCTGCGCACTCGTATGATATGTAGACCTTACTTTCTCCAACTTTTATACTCTGATGAGATGCTCTTCGGGGCCGTTGTTCCTATATCTGTGTCTTACCGGATGCATGTAAATGCCGGATGTAGGTTTGAGGTCAAGTACTTCTGCATTCGCTGGCCGGGAATCCAAATGAACTCCCTGGTATACTAGGCCTTTTTTTCATGGTCTGATTGGAATTGTACTGAGTATCTGTTTCGGTCGCATACTAAAAAATATGCCAGAAAGGAGAAAAAGAGTCATTTTGTCTCTGGGGCATCATGTAAGTAAAGAGAAACACGGGGTGTTAAACATTTTGACCCCTGCCATTAAACAGGGCGCGGCAGAAATACCTCTCACATGTACCTCCTAGGAATACCGCGCGAATAATGATAACACATTAAATGCGTTAGAGACTTCAGCTAGCCCATCTCTGTCGCTTCCAGTATTTTCTTCATTTTTGAGGAAATCGTCCGATATTCGTTATTGTAAAGAAGGACATATGTCAAGTAACAGCTCGTATTCTTTTCGCTGTTTCCAAAGAAATCCTCCTGTCTCGCAATACTTTGCCCAGCTTTTGAAATGCGACCTTGGTCATCCCAATACGTCTACAGACCTCGTTGTCGCACTTACCGTCCTTTGTCAAAATACTTCTCATGAAGTATTTTGACAGAGGACGCACCTACATTTTGGATTCATCTTCTTGTAGTTTATGCTTAGTCCCTTCTTCCCACTCTCCTTCGCCACCTTCTGGAGGAGGTTTCTTAATTTCTTTTCCGTGTCCTTTATCAGTACTGTGTCATTTGCGTATCTTATGTTGTTAAGGTTATGACCACCAATGATGAATCCCGGTAGGATTTCCAATCCGCTCAGAACTGCCTCGCTGTATAGTTTTAATAGGTCTGGTGAGAAGACCCATCCTTGCCGTTACATCCCTTTCTGTTTTTGTATATTTGTTTTACTCGTTCTCTATGCGCATACATGCTCTTTGCTGCCAGTATAGGTTCTGGATTATAATAATATCTTTCCCGAATATATGAAGGTTGCTGAGCAGCTCCAACAGATCCTTGCGGCATACTTTGTAGAAGCCCTTTGCGTAGTCTATGTGTTATGAACTCGTGTGTGGTTGCAGTCTCATAACTATCAAATGAAATGCCTTGAATGCAGTTTTGATTCACGGTCCGTGAATGAATATATCTGTGTGTGTGTGTGTGTGTGTGTGCGGCACATGGAGAAACGGGTGATGCGATACGGAAAAGAGTAATTTTCTACTCACGATTTGCTTGAAATCACCATTATTCACAGGAGAACATTACAACATATACTTAAGTATGTACAAATCACGGTCCCAAGTTACTGGGTTGTGTGTCACAACCGTTAGGACAGGAGAATATATAGCGTCCTTATTGTCTGGTAGCCATGTTCAAATCTGTTCCCTTTTTTGCGCGTCCCGACTCTGAAAGTCGCGTTTATCACGTGACTCTCGTGGTTTTGACAGGGGCAAAAACAGGAAAGAGTTATTTCCCTTGGAATATATTTTTTTATCCGTCCTAACACTATGAAACATTCGTAAAGTTCTTTCCGCATTTGTATTGCTCTTTCTGATAAAATTCTGAGCATGAATATTGCGTTTCTTGTTCCGCTGTCTTTAACGAACCCGTACTGTTCTTGTCCTATCTCTGGCCTGATTTTGCAGTGCGCTCTATTCATCAGAATACGGATGATGTGGTTAGTTACGTGGCTCATTAGGGTGATTGTTCGGTGAAGTTCGCATTCGTTTGCGCCTGGTTTCTTAGGCATTGCGATGAAGATACATCTGTTGCGATCGTCCGGTATATCTCCACTATTTGGTACATTTCGGATACAAGTTTAGTTTAAAAATGTCTGTGAAAATCTTGTGAAATAAAAATGGCTTCCTCAATGATAATAAACGAAAATATGAAGACGAAAACAGAAATTGTAACCCAGATCGGGAGGGTGATTTTGCATTCACCGTTAAAGGGAGTAAAACGTTGTGTGCTATCTGTCATGTATTGCACGGGTAAATTTTGTTCATGTCTTGCGGCTCTCAAATATCTGAACTCTATCGTATGTGGCTTTTATATAAAGCAGGTTTGTCCCACCCTGATATATATCAAGGAACATATGATTATTAGAACGTCTCGTGGTCTTCAGGAAATCAAGTTTCGAGTTGGATAGGGTTTGGAAAATATACATTTTGGATCTTAATGTTTATCTCTATCTATAAAAGGCAGGCTGTGTATGTGTGTGTGTAACAAATGCACGGCCGCATTTTTCGACGGATTTGCACCAAAATTTACATGCACATGCTCAAACTTAGCAGAAAGGCCAAGACCGAATTTGCATTTCCCAACTCCCATCGATAATGGAAATAATCAATTTTTTCATGCTTCTACGGCAGTGTTCATGTAGTTTGCGGCCATTTTCTACTGGCCAGAATGAGGGCCTATAGCTGGCTGCCATGAATAGGCAGGAATATTCTATTGGCCAACGTGAGTGCCAACAGCTGACTGACACGAATGTTAACAAGCATGCTAGCATGCAAAGAAAAATCGATAGCAGCATTCGTCACAATTGGGAAAAAGTTAAATCTGCATGGCACTTTACTCCAGTTGGCTCATTCGCTTTCTTAAACTCAACGTTGATTCTGATTCCGCAGAACTGGGTTCGGTGTGAAAAAGTATTTGTTGTTAACATTCTTTTTTTCATTCGGTTTTTCCTGTTACGAGTCCTTTTTTTAAAGCTAATCGTTTTGTGTTCATTTTCTTTAGTTCTTTTTTCGTAAAAGATTTAATGTTTAATATAGAGCTTAGAAAAAATTCGCAGTGTGAGATAGGCAAGAAGTAAGGCATGTAGCAACATTAGCACGGCAAGGGCACTCCTTTAAAGGTAAGGAAGGGCACAAATATTTTAAGCCAAGTGATAGCGATTGCTGTATAAGTCGTACGATTTTTGAATCAAGCACGGGCAACGCCGGGTCATGCTGCTAGTTGTTTATATATTTACATTGCAATTTCTTTATATCAAATTTGGTCTTATGAAAAGTTCCGTGAAAAATATGGAGAGAAAAGGAGGCAATATTTAAGTATATACTGATTTCCCAGATTCGACATCATTCGGTTAATGAAAGAGAAGAAAATTGATGGAAGAACCCATGAAGTCATACAAACATATTGGATGCAACATGTTGTTGAAGATCCACTTCTAAGACACATATTTCCTCCAGTAAATGTGGTGGTGTGGGTAACGTACATGGTGAACGATTTCGTCAATACATTGAAGCAATGGAGAAAATGTATCGGGGCATGTGGATTTTGTCAATGATTAATTTTGTGATAAAAGATGATCCTTCTTTTACAAAAGGCAAACTATGAACCGACGTGTCGTTGTTGAATAACTGCACACGTTTATACTTCTGAAGAAAGTTTTCTGGTTGTATATTATTCAATAAAAATATATATTACCATTTTGATGTCTTTGTGTACTTCTCTGGTAGTCTACAGAGAACATAACAGAACATCAAAGTAGATTTCGCAAAGCTACATTGTTTTTCTTGGAGACATCCATTAGACTCACGTGTATGACTTAACTGATTAAATACAGTGTAACCCGGATATAAGAGAGTTGTCGGGACCGGAGAAGAAGTCTCTTATATCCGGGTTTCTCTTATATCAGGGTTTGGTCTATTTTGTTTAGGTAAGTATGGCTCTAATTTGGGACCAGAGAAAATCTTTCTTATATCCGGGTTTCTCTTATATCCGGGTTTCTCTTATATCCGGGTCTCTTATATCCGGGTTACACTGTATCTCTAAA